CGGCGGAGGCGCGGGCGGCCGAGCGGGAGCGGGAGGTGCAGGAGCTGCGGGACACGGCGCGGGGGCTGGAGCGCAGCCTGGGCAACCTGCGGGGCAGGGCGGGCCAGCTGGCCACCGCCTGCCGCGACAAGGACGGCAAGGTAAGGGACACGGGCGGGCAGGGACAGGGACACCTTCCCGGTGACACCCTCTTCCCATCGCTGTCCCCTTCCCATTGCTGTCCCCATCGTTGTCCCCTTCCCATGGGTGTCCCCATTGCCATCCCCTTCCCATCCCTGTCCCCTTCCCATCCCTGTCCCCATCCCTTCCCTGTTCCCATCTCCTCCCCATCGCCATCCCCTTCTCATCACTGTCCCCATCATTGTCCCCTTCCCATTTGTGTCACCATTCCCATCCCCTCCCCATCCCCGTCCCCTTCCCATCCCTGTCCCCATTCCCATCCCCTTCCCATCCCTGTTCCCATCTCCTCCCCATCCCTGTCCCCTTCTCATCGCTGTCCCCATCATTGTCCCCTTCCCATGGGTGTCCCCATTCCCATCCCCTTCCCATCCCCGTCCTCTTCCCACCACTTTCCCCATGAGTGTCCCCTTCCCTTCCCATCCCTGTCCTCATCCTGTCCCCTTCCCATCCCTGTCCCCATCCCTTCCCTGTTCCCATCTCCTCCCCATCGCCATCCCCTTCTCATCACTGTCCCCATCATTGTCCCCTTCCCATTTGTGTCACCATTCCCATCCCCTCCCCATCCCCGTCCCCTTCCCATCCCTGTCCCCATTCCCATCCCCTTCCCATCCCTGTTCCCATCTCCTCCCCATCACCATCCCCTTCTCATCGCTGTCCCCATCGTTGTCCCCTGCCCATGGGTGTCTCCATTGCCATCCCCTTCCCATCCCTGTCCTCTTCCCACCACTGTCCCCATGACTGTCCTCTTCCCATCCCTGTCCCTATTCTCATCCCCTTCCCATTGGTGTCCCCATCCCCTTCCCCTTCCCATCCCTGTCCTCTTCCCACCACCGTCCCCATCACTGATCCCTTCCCATTGACACCCTCTTCCCATCACTGTCCCCTTCCCATCCCTGTCCCCATCCCTGTCCCCATTCCATCACCACCAAGACCCTCGCCCAGCGGGAGGAGGTGGGGAGGCTGCGGAGGAGGCTGGTGGGGCAGCGGAGGGAGCTGGCGGCGCTGAGGGACGGGGTGGGCGAGAGGGTGCGGGATGGGGGGACCGGGGGAGACGTGGGGGCCGGGGTGCTGCGGGAGCTGCACCGCAAACTGGACGGGCTGGTGAGGGCCCAGCATGAGGCCTTGCAACTCGTTGCAGAGATGGAGGGCGACGGTGGGGATGGGATGCTGGGAGAGACGGAGGGCGAGGAGATGGTGGATGGTCCCAATGGGGTGGGGGTGATGGAGGGGGGCACCACCACCCCGTGTGGCCAGGAGGTGGCCAAGGAGGTGGCCAAGGAGGTGGAGGAGGCGAAGCGGGCGGCGGAGGCGGCGGAGGCGCGGGCGGCCGAGCGGGAGCGGGAGGTGCAGGAGCTGCGGGACACGGCGCGGGGGCTGGAGCGCAGCCTGGGCAACCTGCGGGGCAGGGCGGGCCAGCTGGCCACCGCCTGCCGCGACAAGGACGGCAAGGTAAGGGACACGGGCGGGCAGGGACAGGGACACCTTCCCGGTGACACCCTCTTCCCATCGCTGTCCCCTTCCCATCACTGTTCTCATCCTGTCCCCTTCCCATCGCCGTCCCCTTCCCATTGGTGTCCCCATTCCCATCCCCTTCCCATCCCCGTCCTCTTCCCACCACTTTCCCCATGAGTGTCCCCTTCCCTTCCCATCCCTGTCCTCATCCTGTCCCCTTCCCATCCCTGTCCCCATCCCTTCCCTGTTCCCATCTCCTCCCCATCGCCATCCCCTTCTCATCACTGTCCCCATCATTGTCCCCTTCCCATTTGTGTCACCATTCCCATCCCCTCCCCATCCCCGTCCCCTTCCCATCCCTGTCCCCATTCCCATCCCCTTCCCATCCCTGTTCCCATCTCCTCCCCATCACCATCCCCTTCTCATCGCTGTCCCCATCGTTGTCCCCTGCCCATGGGTGTCTCCATTGCCATCCCCTTCCCATCCCTGTCCTCTTCCCACCACTGTCCCCATGACTGTCCTCTTCCCATCCCTGTCCCTATTCTCATCCCCTTCCCATTGGTGTCCCCATCCCCTTCCCCTTCCCATCCCTGTCCTCTTCCCACCACCGTCCCCATCACTGATCCCTTCCCATTGACACCCTCTTCCCATCACTGTCCCCTTCCCATCCCTGTCCCCATCCCTGTCCCCATTCCATCACCACCAAGACCCTCATCACTGTCCCCTTCCATCACCATCCCCTTCCCATTGCTGTCTTCATCATTGTCCCCTTCCCATTGGTGTCCCCATCACCACCTCCTTCCCATTGGTGTCCCCATCACCATTCCCTTCCCACCCTTGTCCCCCTCCCATATCTGTCCCCATCCTCTTCCTCTTCCCCTTCCCATCCCTGTCCCCATCCCTGTGTCCCCCCCATTCCCCACCCCAGCCCAACACCCCAGGGGAACCGAATTTGGGGGCCCGGGGACCTCTGGGGCAACCAGGACCTTCTTCCCACCCGAGTCCATCTCCCAGCCAGATTTGGGGGTGGGGGGACAGATGGGAACCAAAAGGACCACCCCGGGGTGTGACAGGGACTGGCCGGTCCCCACCAGCACCCTGACTTTCTCCCCCATGTTGTGTGTCCCCCCCCAAGATGAAGAAGCTGCTGGTGGAGACGGAGAAGCTGTCGGCGGAGGTGCTGGGGCTCCGCAGCCAAAACGCCCGGCTCCAGCTCCAGCTGGAGGTGGGTGCCAGCACCCGGTGTCACCCGGTGTCACCTCGGCACCCCCTTGGCCTCCCCACCTTCCTCTTCTTCTCCCCACCTTCCTCTTCTTCTCCCCACCTTCCTCTTCTTCTCCTCCTTCCCAGGTCCAGCAGAAAAACCACCGGGACATCGTGGCCATCTATAGGACCCACCTCCTCAACGCTGCCCAGGTGGGGTCCCTATGGAGCTGGGGTGGGGACATGGGGACAATTTGGGCTGGAAAAATACAAATTGGGAGCCCGGCACCCAATCTGGGTGCCCCACAGGATCCGGCCCCACGGCAAAGCTCTCCTCCCCACAGGGCTTCATGGACGAGGGGGTCCACGCCATGCTGCTGCACATCCTGCGCACGGAGGAGTGAGGGGCAGGATGGGGACCAGTCCCACCAGTCCCACCAGTCCCCCCCCCCAGCCATTAAACTGGACCAGTCGCCTGTCCCCATCCCGTGTCCCCTCTGCATCTTGGGGGGGGGTTTGGAGGTTGGGGGTTCTCCCTAGGGTGGGGGGACACTCCGGGAGGGCTCACGGCATCTCTGGGATGTGGGTCAGGACTGGGAAGTGGTGCTGGGAAGACCACAAGGCAGGACTGGTCCCAGTACAGCACCAGTCCCATATAGCCCCCTTCCCCATACAGCACCAGTTCCCTATAGCCCCATACAGTCGTGGTCCCCACACAGCCCCAGCCCCACACAGCCCCATTCCCCATACGGCAAACCCTGGTCCCATATAGCCCCAGCCCCATGCAGCCCTCATCCCATACAGCTCTTGTCCCATATAGCATAGTCCCACACAGCCCCAGTCCCCTATAGCCCCAGTCCCATGCAGCCCTGGTCCCGTACAGCTCTTGTCCCATATAGCATAGTCCCACACAGCCCCAGTCCCCTATAGCCCCAGCCCCACACAGCCCCAGTCCCCTATAACCACAGCCCCATGCAGCCCTGGTCCTATATAGCTCTGGCCTCATATAGCACAGTCCCACACAGTCCCAGTCCCATATAGCTGTGGCCCCACACAGCCCCAGCCCCATATAGCTCTGGTCCTATATAGCTCTGGCCCCATATAGCATAGTCCCACAGCTCCAGTCCCTTATAGCTTTGGTCCCATATAACCCTGGTCCCATATAGCCCCAGCCCCATGCAGCCCTCATCCCATACAGCTCTTGTCCCATATAGCATAGTCCCACACAGCCCCAGTCCCCTATAGCCCCAGCCCCACACAGCCCCAGTCCCCTATAACCACAGCCCCATGCAGCCCTGGTCCTATATAGCTCTGGCCTCATATAGCACAGTCCCACACAGTCCCAGTCCCATATAGCTGTGGCCCCACACAGCCCCAGCCCCATATAGCTCTGGTCCTATATAGCTCTGGCCCCATATAGCATAGTCCCACACAGCCCCAGTCCCATATAGACCTGCTCCATATAGCTCTGGCCCCATATAGCATAGTCCCACACAGCCCCAGCCCCATATAGCTCTGGCCCCATATAGCGCAGTCCCACACAGCCCCAGTCCCATATAGACCTGCCTCATATAGCTCTGGTCCCATATAGCTCTGGTCCCGTATAGCTCTGGCTCCATATAGCCCAGCCCCACACAGCCCCGTCCCCATATAGCCCTGGCCCCATATAACCCCGCTCCCATATAGGGGGACCCCACACAGCCCCGCTCCTATAGGGGACTCACCGCCCCTCGGCGCAGCCCCCTCCCACCCGCTCCAGGGGGCGTGGCGAAGGGGAAAATGGGCGTGGCGAAGGAGGAAGTGGGCGTGGCGTTGCGGCTGCGCGGCGGGCGCGGAGTTGCGCGACGCTCCCTTGCCCCCGCCCGTTCCCCGTTCCCTGCGGCCGCGGCGGGGCGCGGAGTTTGCCTCGGTCCCTGCGCGGCGGCTGCCATGTCCCAAGATGGCGGAGGCGGCCGAGCTGAAGGTGC